TTTCTTTGTTGATTTTTATATGTAAATTTTTCTTTTTTTTTTTTTTTTTTTACAAATTTTCACAGACTTTCTGAAAGTAGTAGGTAGATAGTTGAACTGAATATAGCAAACAGTGTTCTCCAGATGCTTCTGCCAACTCACAGTGTGGTCAGGGAGAGTTCTGAGGTAACCCAGGGTTTGTGTGATAATTGTTGCTTGAAGGCAGAGTTCACAGGAGCAGACGCCCTTTCTGGGTAAGGCAGCCAGGGCTGCCTTCCTGGAAGACTGGGATTTGAAATCAGCCTCAGTGACTTAGATGCAAAGGATTTAGGATTTAGCTGCCAAGTCTGGCAGTCACACAGCGCCCCCAGCTTTCTGATGGGAGCGGGAAGGATCACTTCCGGATTTGAAGTAATGCCTTTTTTCAAATCCTCTACAGTCTTGATGGAGGGTCTGAGAACATGGGACCTTGAGAGAGGCTGAGGCTGGCAGAGAACAGACTTGCGCACAGCCGCTCTGCCAGTCTAGGACCAGGCTGACCAGGTCCCTACTCACCAGGGACCTACAGCACCTACTCACCTACAGCACCCTTTCCCTGTGCTTGGGAGGCTGGCAGCAGCAGTCTGCACATGGTCCTTTCTGCACAATGTGTATCAGGTTACTTGCTTCCTTAGACCCAGCCCAGCAAACACCGTGACAAACCCGTTAAACCTTATGGCCCAAGACATAAAGAGCACTGTTAGGAGAGGCGGGCTGGCATTTGCTTAAGTTACTCATGCGAACAGCTGCCCTTGCCAGAGGACAAAATAGCAGCTAACCAACAGGCAGGGGTTTGGCAAGAGACCAGTCCAAAACCCATGCAACCCCTTTAGGGAAAGGGAGAAAGAGCATCAAAAAATCAGTGCTTCACCCCCTCCTCACTGACATGCCTTGCACATCCCCAAAATGCTTTCTGTGAGTGCCCTCACCTACAGTCCCTTTATTCTTGCTGTGGAGGTCAGAGGTTGCAGCCAGGGAGTCATGGACCGGGGGAGGTGCAATCTGCTGGACCATCAGGTGAGACTGAGGCTGAGCGCTCTGCTCTGTGGGGTGTGGACCTGCCAGCCTTCACCTTAGGGACAAGGGCTCACCTCTGTGGAGATGCAGTACTCGTCACATATGCCTAGGAGTTTAGTCTTGTTATTCAAGGTCGTTGTGTTCTATAAAGTTACCTCCAACACGAGTTAGCAGACCCTGAGCCTTTGCTCCCAGGGGTAATATGGGGTTAGGTTCTTAGCAGCTTCTGATCGTGCCGTTTTCATCCACTGATAAGTCCATATTCTATGTATCTATCAAGAGGTACCTTAGTGCTTATATATTATTGATTGTAGCTGTTGAACTCATGCCCAGCAGCACTGTGACTGAGTTTGGAGGAAGCTCATCTTGCACATGCTTTCTGCAAGTGGTGACCCTCTTGCCCTCAGGACCACGACACAGCACTTCAGCACCGTCCCTGGGGCCATTTACAGTACAGTGACACAATACACAGCACAGACATTCCAGAGCCGTGGCCTGAACACACCACAGTGGACACTTGTATAAGACATGATGAGTCGAAAAGGTGATTATTGCCTAGTTCTGCCTCAGCTGGGCAACTGACATTTTCTGCCCCTCTGTGCGTGTTTGAAAATACTGAGTACTGGTTTGGAATTACAGGTAAATATTAGTGAGCAGGTGGTTCAACAATAAGGAAGATCTGCCCTCTGGACATCACATGTGCCCCGCTGTGATGCCCTTGGTGAATGAAGGCCAGAGCCCAGGACAAGGCTGTTGGCACCTCCATTTTTGGGGGGGGTACCAGGAATCGAACTCGGGTCCTTGTGAGTCAGGTGCCAGAACGACTGAGCTAAATCTCCCACTGTTTTTTTTGTTTTGTTTTGTTTTTTGTTTTTTGAGACAGGGTCTCACTTTGTAGTTCTGGCTGGCCCTGAATTCACTATGTAGCCCAGGCTGGCTTTGAACTTGGGGTGATCTTCCTGCCTCAGCCTCCCAAATGCTAGGTCCGTTCTTGTGTTGGCTCACTGTAGTTGCCAGGAAAGGAGACCTGTCTTCCCTCCCCCATGCCATGTTCCGTCCACAGGGTAGGAGGGACTCTGTACTTGCACACAGTATGTCCCAAAGCAGTGTCCACCCCTGACAGACTTGACCCTTGCTGCAAAGAGCTTGAGGGCAGAGGAATGATTGCCCTGAGGAATGATTTTCCTAAGGAGGTGTTTCAGGCCAAGGTGGGGCCTCCTGAGTCCCACACCTCAAATCCTGGCCCCTAACTTCTGCACTCTCTCAGAACCTTTCCAAAAATACACATAAGAAGAGTCCTACAAGTTGAGGGCAGTAGTGCTCATCTGTAATCTGAGCGGCTCAAGAGGCTGGGTCAGGAGGACTGCAAGTTCAAGGCAGCCCGGACAACTGAGTGAGACCCTGTCTCAAAATTTTAGAAAAGGGGTAGGGTGTAGCTCAGTGGCAGGGCACTTGCCTAGCATGCCTGAGGCCCTGGCTTCAGTACTCAGAACTGCCAAAGAGAAAGAGTTGGTGCATGTGTGCTACAGACCACTGCTATGCTTCTCTCCAGGACTCTGCGGTTCTCCTTGAGAGGTGGCTCCTGGTGAGGGACTACATGGTCTCCTTTGGCAGCTGGAGGCCTCCTGCCCAGGACTCCCCAGGGTGTGTAAAGAGCGAGCTGCGCACTTTCCTGCCCTTGTCCCCTGTGACT